GTAGCACAGCTGGCCCTACACCCCTCTCCAGCATCTGCCTCAGAAGGGCGATGGCAGGCCAAATCAGTAATGAGAACGCCACAAAGGTTTGCTGGTGTTTTTTGATTTTTGTCATTATCAAGAACTGGATTTGTAAAGTGGGGAGATTCATGCATTCCTCTTGTCGGTGGTCAAGATCTAAGGACATGGCAGGAAAAGTCCAGCTTCGGGCAAAGTGCAGAAGAGGACCTAGTAGTAACCTGCAGAGGAGTTTGGAAGTGTCTTTCTGCTCCCAGGTGCTCAAGTCGGGACCAGAGCAGCTGGGAGAGCGCCTGGGTGAGCAGGTCCCCAGCACGCACAGGGCAGGGACACAGTTGCTGGACGGGCTCCAGTGTTCACCTCTAGCGGGACAGAGCAAAGCCTGGGCGTCCCAGCCGTGCAAACGCGGGGCGCCAGCGCCCCCTGCTGACTGCCTCGTGCAGCGCAGGCCTGGAGCGTCCCCAGACAAGGGCCTGCTCCTTGGACGAGCCAGAAAGGGGTGGGGGGATAGGGGGCGGAGACGGAGGTCTAGCCTCGCGCTACAGGAGAGCTGCTCGAACCCTGGGACGTAGACCCGCGTGAGTGCCACAGTGAGGGTTTGCCTCTGCTGCTGGATGTCTGGCCTTGTGAGAGGGTAAGTCAGAGGCTGGACTTGGGGGTGCTAGGATGGATGGGGAAAGGAGCGCTTACAGGAAGGCATTCTGAGCCCCAAGATCGGATGGCTAAGGTTGGGAGAAAGCTGCTTAGAACCTAGCAGTGGCTTTCCAGCGTTCTGGTCTCGGGTCACGGGCCTGCTTGGGGGCAGCTCAGTGTCCCAGGAAGCCAGGTGCAAACTGCGTGGCTTTGAGTGACCCAGGCTTGGAAGTCACCCGGCATCGCTTCACACTGCTCGATGGGTCGAAACAGCCCTCAGTCTGCTCTGTTCAAGAAAAGGGGACAGAGGCTCCGTTTCTGCGTGAGAGTGCCAGGGAATCTGCAGCTGCTCTTACGCACAGCTCACTGAGGCCCATCTCTCCATGACAGCGTTGTGTCCTGGGCAAAGTGGCACCTCCCTCCTTCTACCTCCACACTTGGGTGCTCCCTCCTAAAACCCAGGTCTTTCCATAACTGAGGATGAGGGATTTCTTGAGCCATTTGCAACAGTGGGAGCCGTTGTGCGATGGAAAGGAACGTTGCAGTTTAAACCCAGATAAGGGAGGAGAGGTGGGGACGTGCAAGGAATGATGGGGACACCCGGGCACTGGGGGAAAGTTCTTTACACTGCCTCTGGCCCCGCATGTCTGTTCTGCCGGGTTCCCAGAGGTCAAGAACTAAAAGCAGGATTCCCTCCCCTTAACCCATTGCCCAGTGAAGTTGTCTGGGGAGTCACCGCCTCTATTGGCCAGCAGAGGGCAGCACAGCACCACCCTACAGCATCAGAAGCTGAGCGGATTGGCTGGCCTCTGTCCCTGGCTAAGGACTGTCTGCAGCTTGATAGAATTCGTGGGTTCCAGAGCAGCAGGGGCTGTTGTGTTGACTGCTCTATCTCCCAGGCCTGGCAGGCAGCAGACAGCTCACATTTGAATGCTGTGCTCTGCCCTGCGTGCGTATGGGTGCAGTAGCTGCTGACCTGCAAGTGCCTCTGGGTGTGTCTAGGTAGTCCGAGGGTGGACACCTGGCTTACTTCTGGGGTTCTCAGCAGTGCTTGTCTCGGCGTGGGTCTGTCCTGAAGCCACCCCTGAAAACTAGTGTACCAAGTCCTGGTGCCACGGAGGCGCCACTCCAGGACTCTGGGGTCTCTTTCTAGACATATTCTTCCCTCTGCTCAGCCCTGGCTGCCTCAAGCCTCTGCCCACGGTGTGCGTGTGGGGGCGGGGAGTTATCACTGCATCTGACCCTTCCTTGGGACACCTACATATTTCTATTATTTAAATAAAAGGTGTTATTCTTGAAGGAGATGAGGACACCTGCAAATCACGACACCACAGGTATGGAGGGAGGGGCGACCAGGAGTCCTCTGTGACAGTCAGACTTGGAGGAGGTAGGACTCCTGTCTACTGAGCAACCCCAGGCCCAGCGCGACTCCAAAGCAAACTCCAGAACGATGCACATGGGAGGGAAAGGAGTTGGTTCTAAGTTATTATTACCCCCATTTGACAGACAGGGAACTGATACCAAGGTTGAAATTGTGATTTGCCAAAGGTCACAGTCATGACATATCTAAATGTGGGAGAGGGGGGAGGAGACCAAACTACAAAAGATCATGAGGAAAATTTTTGGAAGAAAATTTTCTATATTTGATTCTTATGATCATTACAGTATACCGGTGTGTCAAAACACAATGACTATCCATGTTTAGAGTGCATTTATTAATATTTAATTTTTTTTCATCCAACTCTGACTCAGAATTCAGTACTCCTGTTTCAGGTGACCTCCAGCTCTGATGTCATAGATCTGGGTCCTGTGTCCTGCAAGAGTTACTCTCAGACCCAGAGCAGATCAGAGTTCTGAGAGCAAACCAGGAAAGCAGTCGGAGGAGGCTGTGGGAATGCAGGGTTGGTCCAACGGACTAATCAATTGGCAAAACTCAAATGTAAACATTGTACTCCATCTGGGACCATGGACCTGCTGTAGTTCAGGAGAGCTGGCCTGGGCTTACTAACCTGGGGGCAGAAAACCTGCCCTAATTACTAAAAGCTGGGTTTCCATGACTCCATTCATCCCTGGGATAGGCAGCCAACCCAGAACTGCCCTTCTGAATCTGCAGCTGAAGTCAGAGACAGCCAGGATGATTTAGAATATCCTTCTCCAAGCAACTAACAGTTTAGAATAAGACTTAATAAGTTCCCTGGTGGCCTCTTCCAGTTTGCTTGTGACCTCACTAACCAGGCCCAAATTTTAGCCCCTTGAGAGCAATCCTTGGAAAACTGGACACCCACGCTAATTAAACTGGTTTTTGATGGCCAGCAAGCCAATGAAAAAGAAAGGAGCCACATCGAGGGTCAGCAAACACAGATGAAGTTTACCTGCTCCTCCCATGATAAATGTTCACCAGGAGATTGTCAGAGCCTCGGCATTCACAGTTCTCTTTAGCCTCTAAGAATCCCAGTCAGCTCAGAAGTCCAGAGTTCTGACAATCTAGTGCCAAGGGCTGACATGGAAAGGCAGGAGTCCCTATAGGCCGAGAGCACAGCTTCCTCTCAAGGTCGCTGATCAGCAGACAGGACTCAGGGATACAGTGTGCCCTGATGGCTCCTGTCTTGAAAATAGGGAGGAGCTGGGTCCAGACAAATCCCACGAACTACCAGCAGTCTGTCCACACACGTGGTGGGTTTCTCAGTGCGTTCACTTCTGCTGTGCCAGCCCTGCTGCTCTTGCCTTTGCTGTTGCTGTGACTGCCAGTGAAAACTAATGCCACCTTAGACGATGGAGAATAAATACGAATTGGGGCGGAGGTGTCACAAGATCACAAATCTGAGTAACACGTACTGATGGGACGTGTAAACATCAAGGCATCTCGTGCTGTTTGCTGGGTGCGTAGAAGTGGATCCTGCTGGGTTATGAGCCCAGAGGTGAGCAGCAGGCCCACCAAGGCCAACCACAACCTCCCACCCCACAGGGGCCACTGGTAACTATGTCAAAAATCTTGGGTAAGAAGAGATTCGTGTCCCAAAATCCAGGTCTCTCAGATAAACTCGGGGCTCCTTTCGCCCCTTCTTGTCTTGTTTAAACTTCTTTATCCCATTCCTCCATCACCCTCTTCACACCCCCTATCGGCAACATTCCTAATGTGATCTCCTCATTTCAATGCAGGTGGTGGTACCAGTGGCTCTCTGAGACAGCCGCACCGGCTATGGGCAGAGGACTCAGCATATCAGCCCACACTCCCACTTCTCACCTTTCCAATTTTGCTGACCTAATGAGTGGACTTCAGATTGTTGCTTCCGTTTCCTCTGGTGGGCTTGAGCATCTCCTCATTGTCTTGGTGACCTTGGGTCTGCTTCTATAAACTGCATACCCATGCTCTTGGCCCAAGTTTTCCCACTGGGGTTTTCTTTATTGTGAGTTTATAGGAGTTTGTCTACTCTCGACACTTAAACTTTGGTGTTACGCGTGGCAAATATCTTCTTGCAGCCCCTACACCTACAGGCATGGCTTTTGCCAACCATTAAAGTAAATTAAGCATAGTAAGAGAAAGTAAAGGAAGTTGAGAGAAGAGGTAAGATTTTAAGGTGAATTCAAAATTAATGTATTAAATGGAATAAAATACAAACCTGTAATACACTCTTGTACCTAAGAATTCAAAATAAAAGAAACAAGCAGCATGTAAAAAGACCAAGAAGTTAAAATTAAATACTTTTGAAAAATACTTTATCAAAATTCTTTTGAAAGAAGTATAAAAACATTATTTTTAAAACTTCATGAAAAAAGGAAAATGGTGTAGAAGCCAGAGGAGTAGAGATTAAAGGAGCAAAACACCACCAAAAGTAGAAACAAAAAACCAAGGAACAAGTAAGAGAATGCCCAGTGACAGTGGACACTGAGCAAGCCTAAGACCTTAGTTAAAAACAGAGGGGGAAAATGCAACCAAAAGGAAAAGGCTAAATTGAGAGCTGGCTGCTACGTCCCTACCAGCCAAGACCTGTTCTTGGGGTTCCTGGGGGTCCAAGCACAGAGGTCAACTGCAATGGTCAGGCGGCAGAACGCAGCCCAGGCTGCTTTTGGATCATCCCAGTTTCCACAGTAGGCTGAGGCCAGCAAAGCGCCTGACCAGGCCCTTTGCATTCTGTGCCACTCCCTATGCTGTGGCCAACAGTCAAGGCCTCAGGGCCTTACGCAGTAGCCAGTGCCAGTCCTTCACCTGGCTGTGGGGACTCCGGAGCCCTAACACTGTCCCCCGACCCACCTCCCCCACTCCTTTGTGCATCTCCCACTTCCCAGCCCCTTGCTTGCTTCCTGCCTTCAAGAAGTAGAGTCCACAAGAGGGAATGGAGCCCAGGGTAAATGCTGCACTGGGAATCATGCTGGCCCCACTTAGGCAGGAAAGGAGACGGCCTGTCTGAACAAGTTCATTACCACCCAAGGGTGCACATGGCAACTTCTGTAATTCACTCCAGGTGTCAGCACGTGAGCTTTGCTCGCTAGAGAAAGCAGTGACCCAGGGACCACGAGGCCTGCCCAGACCACCTTCCAGACCAACTCTAGCTTTTCACCTCAAGTGGCCAGCTGTCAAATGATTGGCTAGGTCCAGTTGCAATGACTCACTACAGGGGCTAAGATCAACAAACTTGAATTCTCCTAGTGAGATATAAAGGCAGGTAGTCTCCCCTGCTCCAGAAGTTCACTGGAAATTCATTGCTTGGCATTCAGATTTGTTCCCAGAGCAGCAATGCCTGGTGCTGACATTGCCAGCTGGCCCACATCCACACGGTTCCCAAGCTCGAGAATCTCATCAACCAAGGTTTGTTTTCATTTTTAATTGGGTGGCTGAAGTAGGACTGTTGGCATTGAATTTTTAAGAAGTGATGACCACCACCCAATTCACTACCGTGCTGCACCCAGTCTGCCGGCGTACTCTCCCTCCTCCCTCTCTTCCTGTCGGGCTCACTCCCTCCCTTCCTCCTCTTTCCCTCCCTCCTTCCTTTCTTCCCTTTCTTTCTGTGGTGCTAAAGATCAAACCAAGGCCTCATGCACGATAGGCAAGAACTTTACCACTGGTCCTTTTTTGAGACAGTGTCTTACTAAATTTGCCTCCAACTCATGATCCTCCGTCCTCAGCCTCCTGAGGCAGCTGTGCTCAGCTATGCCTCCAGTTTTTTGTGGACAGGCATCTCTACTCCTATTCCTGCACCATCCACACAGCTGACTGGACAGAGTGGCCACAGCTGTAGACCAAAGCAGGGGCTCCTCGTGACATCAATGTCTAATAGAGGGAATCCGTGTGCAGAAAAACTGCAGGGCCTGTGCAGGCTACACTCCAGAAATATATAAAGGCAGCCCCTGGCCATGGTCTCAGGACTTTTCTGACAGTGAGCATTCATCTCCACCCACACTTGTGCTGTAAAGTGACACAGATATAAAACTGGGAGGCCTGCCCTGGTGGAGGCTGCCCTCTGACAGGTGAGGAACAAAGAAAGCACTCATACATACTCAGGATCAGGCACTCAAAGATAAAGGCAGAGTGAAGGTGTGCTTCCGTCTGTCCCCTTCAGACCATCTGGCCTCCGGTTTTGGATTTCTGTTCTCAAACTTGAGGTTATGGATCCTGTAACTTCCCCCTTTCCCACTGCAATGCAACCTTTGAAAATAACAAGTTTCTGAGCCCACTACAGTACAATACAAACTGAAACCTGGCAAAAATTAGCACCTCTTTTGGTTTTCCTTTACATAATGTCCCAGTTTGTTTTAATAAGGTCTTGAGGGCATTTGGACACACAATTGTGCTTTATGGGTTTCTTGACACCATGTGGCACTGAAAGCTGCTGTACGTTACAACTTCAGTTTCCTTGGCTAATGTCAGGTCCTCATTTGGAACAAATGTTCATTTTAACAATTAAAATACAGACAATGTGGACCCGGGAGGCAGCTCAGCAGCAAAGCACCTGCCTGGCAAGTGCAAGGTCCTGAATCTGAGTCCTGGTACTAGGGGAAAAAAAACCAGACGATGATATCCATGGATGGGAGGGAATACATTTATCTTAGGTATAAAGGTTTACTATTATTAACAAGTTATCACTGATATTTACATGTTTATAAAGTGGAAATAAAAATGACATACAGGTTTGGTGCCAAAAATGGCACATCCAAACTAAAACCAGTACAAAAATAAATTTTCAAGCTACGTGTATTTAAAATAAATGTCACTGAAAGAGTGAGGGGAGGAATCCGCCTCGTCACGTGCTGAAATGTAATCATCACGGCAGCAAAGCAGCCCTGGGGCAAAGTAGTGCCTGCTGGAGGGGCTGCCTTGTGTTCTTTCGAGAATGCAGGCCAACAAACAAGACAAATACTGTGTACCAGAGTTATGTTCCTGAGCTACAGAAGTTTAGAGCATCTAAACTGCAGTGAATTCCTGCTAAGAAGGCGCCTGTGGGGACAGAGCGGAAGAGCTTTCACCAGTAGCTGTCACTCAGCTAGTGGCACCAGAACACGGCATCGTACTCGGAGAGAATGCTAAGTCCACCGGGGAAGGGCAGACCCTTGGAACCAGGTCAGTGTCCAATCCTTCCCGTGGGCCACCAGTCCCTCGAAAAGTCTACAGGCTACAGATAAGCAGGGACGGGGGCAGAGGACACAGAAGCTGCTTGGTTTGGGAGCCTTTGCGCCCGAAAGACATCACCCTTCATGATCTGGACAGAAATCTCCAGTGTTCCCAAGGCCTCCTTCCTTCAAAGATACATGCTGTGCGCGCCTGGCACCAGACAACACAGCCACGGCCACAGCAGGGAAAGCAAAGCCAGCCCGTACACCCTGTGTCTACCCCGCACTGTGCATCACGCGAGGTGGCTCTCAGAGAAGCTAACTCTCCTCGTCCTTCCTGGAGCTGGGCAGGCCTGTGCGCCTGTCGAACTGGCATGCTGAGCTGGTGAGCCAAGAGCACAGACCAGCCCACGCCCACTCTGCCTGGGGGCAGTGCAGGATGCCTGTCCATGCAGGCTCCTCTGGGATCCCAGCAAGGACTGCAAATACTGAGGAGAGCAGGAAGAAGGGAGCTGACGGGCGGGCTGCACCCAATCCAGGGCTTCTGCAGGTTCCACATGAGCTGTGCCAGCTTAGCCAGGGCAGCACGGAGCAGATGACACAAAGCAGTCCCAGCAGCCGCAGCTACACTTGCTCACTGGTCCTGGACCTTGGCCCTCTTGGCTTTCAGAGACAGGTGCTAGAAAAAAAAGAAAAAACACCATAGCTGAATGGACAAAGAAATCAAACTCCAACATAATTCCCACAGCAGTGACCAAATCAAGTCATTTATTTGATCCAGGCCCTGTCTAGAAATGCTACACCCTCAGAAAACACTCTGCAAGGGGAAAGCCCATGTGACGAGTACAGGTACAGGTCTTAGTGGGGCTGTCAGCAGCCCCAGGGCAACCTAGCACACTGAACCTGGCTACACAGGGCCCTGTGGCAGCTCCCAATAAGAGGTTTGCCTTTGAGACAGCTCCCCAGACCCCGGCCCACAGGCAGGGGCTGAGCTTGGGCAGGGATGACCTCAATGTTCCAAAAAGTTCCTGACAACCATCAAAAAGAGCACCCTCTCCTTAGAAACCAGGGAATCAGACTGTTTACCAAGTGTTTCAACATGGCAGGTGCCTATACTCAAGGACAGAGCTAAAGCCACAGCCCTGTCTGCTAAGGGCACACACTAGCTAGGAAGACAGAAAAAGGATACTTCCTAGTGACTCTTTTCCCAGAAATGACACTATCAATAAAAGTAACATATGAAGTTTACTAAGATTATCGTCATGGGTATCAGACAAGGCTAAGGAATGAAAATACATTTAAGGTAAAACCAGAGTGCTAGAAATCTTAAAATATGGATTTAAGGTGGGATATGTGGACCACCTTAATAAGGTGGCCCTCCACTAAACAAATACGGAATATCTGATATCCCATCAATAATCTTCCCACCTGCACCTGCTGTCTCAAACCCCATTTCCCAGCATACCCAACATGGCCACCCAACATCAAGCCCTGGCCCCATCACACAGAGAACTAGAGGTCCCAAAAGAAGCCACTGGAATTGGAGATGACTCAACAACAGGACCCTCATTTGAGACAGCAGCCAGAAGTGAGACTTTTTCTCCACTCACACCTGAGGAAGGACCAGTGAAGGTTCTAGCAAAGGCCAGGCTAGAACTGTTTGCCCTAGATAACAAGGGTACCTTTGAGAATAAGAAAAAATAGTTTAAGAATTAGAAAACGAATCTCTCATCAAGAATCCCTGTTCTTCTCCTGTCCATCTGTGGGTCTTGCTGAATTTCTGTGAATTGTCTCCTTTTGGTACTTCACCTGACAGGACCCTACAACTAATATTAGACACCCATAGCCTTAGTTTGAGAATGGGTAATGACACCATGCTGCCTGTGGGGCCATTTTTGGTCCTCATTTCTGGAAGGAATTTTTGTTTGGTTATAAACAAAACAGACTCTGAACCATTTCAGGCCTCTACAGAGTGAGAGCAACACTGAAAGACAAGAGATGGAAAGTGACCACTGGTGCCAGGAACAGAGCACAGCTGATCTGTGGGTGGTGCATGGTTTTAAGGCACTGAATTATGTTTAACAAAGAATATCTACCATATTTGGGCAGTCCCCAGAGGGCCTAGGAAAATCAATCTGCTTTGGACAAGTTAACAGTAGAAGTGTTGTTTTTGGATTAGTTAAGAAAGGGCAAAGTTTCCAATAAGGGTGGGGGACCCTCACTGCACAATGAGGTTGTTGGTTTCTAAAAGTCCCAGCCTGTCTAAAAATACTCAGATTGCAGTGGAGGTTATGGGGTGAAACCAGGCATTTAGAGAGAAGAGACAAATCCAAAAATTTGAGCTTGTCATTTCCTTCAAACTTCTGAAGATATTTGCTCTTTAACTTCATGCATTTAAGCTAAAGGAATTGCAATTTTGAGCTGAGAAGGGAAAATGACTCAGATTATAGGCTAATTCTGTTCTCCAAGAGCCTAAATGAATCCAAGACACTTCCAGGCTTATCCCTCTCTAACTGCTAGCATCCTATTATTTAATAGGCACATTTATACGTGCACCCTTCTCTACTTCTGGTTTGCATTTCTAATCACTTCTCTTATACTCCTGAAGTCTGCTGTTTTCCACTTAAAAGATTTTGAAGGAAAATATTTTCCTCTACTGGAGGTTTACTCTTGTCAACCCAATTGAATACAGACAACACACTGCACTTTCATCCATTTCTGCAGATCTGGTTTCAAGCAGAAATATCTAGAATGTATGGAGAACTATAAAGGGCTGGGCACAGTGTCACATGCCTATAATTCCAGCTATTTGGGAGGCTAAGCAGGAGGATCAAGTGATCAAACCCAGCCCAAGCATATTAGCAAGATTTTATGTCAAAAAGAAAAATTAAAAAAGGTGGAAGACACTGCTTAGTGAAGGAGCACTTGCCTAGCTGGCATCAGGCTCTGGATTCAATCTTCCGTACCATCAAGAAAGACAAAACAAAACAAATACTATATAAATTTGAACTGTCTTCTGTTTTTTTTGTTGTTGTTTTTTGTTTTTTGTTTTCTTTTTGGTACCAAGGATTGAACTCGGGTCCTTGCACTTGCAAGGCAGGCCACTGAACCGCTGAGCTAAATCCCCGGCCTGAACTGTCTTCTGTTTGACTGGATAATAATTCAATACTAGAAGATTGTAAAAAGACAATTCTCCTTAACAATACAGAGGACAGGGATGAGAAAACCCCTCCATTTACAGGGTCGCAAACTCAAAGGTGTCCAAGAGCCGAGCAAGTGAATAAACAAGTGAAGCAGGTCTGTGGCACATACAAAAGCAGCAGCCAGTCCCTGGCCCCTGCTTATGGCCACCAAGCAACTTGGACTTTGTGTGACTAGATTTAACATTTATTTCAAGAAAAGCCAGACATTCAATATTCAATTGAAAAAAAAAAAAAATCTCATTCCTACATTGCCCAGGCTGGTATACAGCTTCTGGGTTCAAGTGATCTCCCTACCTCAGCCACCCAAGGAATTCAGACTACAGACATGGACATGCTACCAAGACTGGATTAAATCTCCAAATTTTTAAATGCAGCAATCAATTCAAATTTTGGTTTGAAACAATGTGCAGTCCAGTTCTAGCACTGACAGAGTATCAGGTCTCAGAATTTCCCTTATGCTATACATAACAGTAAATCTAGACAAAATGTCTGATGTAACTTTTCTCAGGCATTGGAAAATAAACAGCACAGGGCTCTAACTCTAATGCTGTGTGTGTGTGTGTGTGTGTGTGTGTGTGTGAGTGTGTGCGCGCGCGCGCGCGCACACATGCACACATGTGTTGAAGCTTGAACCCAGGGCTTCATATATGCTAAGCACATGCTCTGCCACTGAGCTACACTCTCAGCAGGGACTATAATCTTCAAAACAGGAGACAAAGGTGAGCTTCAGGTTTATTCTGGATGTCTATGTAGGTCTCCAACCCCTGGCACGGGGAAATAAATTCTAAACACAGGAATCAGATGAGTGTTCAAGGCTGCTGTAACAGCTGGAATTTGCAGGACAGAGCATCAAAAAGAAGGCATGCCAAGGGCTGGGGATTTAGCTCTGTGGTTCTGCTGCCTTCCTCACAAGTGCAAGGTCCTGAGTTCAATCCCTGGTACAAAAAAAACAAAATGGAGGCACTCCAAAAGTTTATACAGGGGTATCCTGAAGCCTTTGGCTGAATTCCAAGCTGTACATGTGCAGGCCAAGAATTTAATGACAATGGCAGAGAACAGTATCAAGAAGCTAAAAGCCAAAATGGAGATTTTGGAAGTTTGTGCAGTGGTAGAGAAGATGGAACTTTGAACGGTTTGAGTACTGAGACCTTGCTTAGTATCCTAGGCATTTGACTGAGCCATTAAAAAAGCTGCATCAGATATATAGCTAAGACCTGCCCTATTAATGACTATGATCATGTCTCAGCAAAATCAAACTGAAGTGCCAGTAATATTAACTGATGTCCAGGAAAAAACTTCAACATTCTATATAAAGAAAACAAATCCAGACTCCGTAATATATAGCATCTATAGTATCTAGCATGCAACAAAAAATTACTACACAAGAGAAACAGCAAAATGTGATATATTCTTAGGAGAAAAATAGCCAAAAGACAAAATAGTGTGTATCAGAAATAACAACAGATGAATGAGTAGACAAGACTTTTGAACAGTTATTATAAATGTGTTCAAAGATTTAAAGATGGATATAATGAGTGAACACATGAAGGATTTAAACAGAATTTTTTAAAAACTGAAAAACAAAATGAAAGTGAAAGAATGGAAAAATACAATATATAAAATGAAAATTTCTCTAGAAGGACTTAGCATATTAGAAACTGCAGAACTGATCAATAAACTTGAAGATCGGGCAAGAGAAACTATCCTGACTGAAGCACAAGGGAAAAAAGATCAGCACCAAGACAAGAGACAAAGTGCTCTAATTCATATATAGATGGAATTCCAGGGGAGCTGGTAAAGAGATAATCGAGCACAAAAAGTATCTGAAGGAGTAACTGTCCCAAATATGATTTTAAACAACAGCTCAACAGTCCAATAAGCTCAGTGAACTCCAAGCTAGATAAACACAAAAACAAGCACCTCATACGTCATACTGCTCAAAAGGGAAGAAACTTTAAAACCAGCCACAGCAGCAGAGGAAACACATTAACATACAGAGGAATAACCATGAAAATGACTGCTGGCTTCTCGCAAACACTTCAAACCAGATGGCAATAGAACAAACTTTAAATACTAAAATGAAAAAACAAAAACAAAAACTCTTTCAAGCTAAAACTCTATAGAACAAAAATATCTTTCAAAAATGAAAATGAAGTAAAGACATTTTCAAGTAAATGAATGCTGAGAGAATATTTAACCAACAGGTGTGTACTGACAGATACACTGAAGGAAGTTCTTCAGGCTACAGGGAAAAGACACCGGTAAAAGGATGAAGAACAACAGAAATGACAGACATCTATCTGGGCAATGTGAAGCAACTTTGTTTTTCTTGCTTCTTCATCTCTTTAAAAAATAACTAATTGTTTAAAACAAAGATAGTAACAATGTATTATGGGGTTTAAACATATATAGAAATAAAATATAGGACAACAAAAGCACAAAGAATAAGATGGGGAAAATGAAGTATAGTACTATAGGTTTCTTATAAGCTAAATAGTGTAATACTAATTCAAGGTCAATTACAACAAGTTAAGGATGCATATGATAACCCCCAAAGAAAACACACACGAAAACCACCGAGACACACAAAAGGCCATTAGAAGAAATAATACTAAAAATATGATTAATTTGAAGTTGGCAGTAAAAAACGAAAAAAAATTACCCAAAGACTATATTAGAAAAATAAGAAAAAATAGTAAGGTAGTACGCTTAAATCTAACCATATTAATAATTACTCTGATTAACTACCCTAAACAATTAAAAACAGTATCAGCTGGGTTGATGGTGCACACCTATAATCCCAGCACTAAGGAAGCTGAAACAGCAAAATTGCAGCATGTCTGAAGCCAGCATGGGCTATGTAGTGAGTTCAAGACCAGCCGGAACAGCACAGTGATACCCTGTCTCAAAAATAAAAACAAAGACAAAAACAAAACAAATAGTGCAGACCAAAAAGACGGAATCTATGGACTATATTTTGCCAGAAAGTTTGTGACTAACTTTCCAACCTACTAAATAAACCTAACTATTCTTCAGTTAAAAATATTGTTAGGAGCACATTTAGCCCTTTCTGGGGCAATGAATGGAACATTTCTTGCAAAAGTAAAAGAGAAAACAAAACTATAAATGTGCTCTCCACTGCTCCCTACCCTGCTCATCCTGCACCTGGCCACCCCCAGGAGCCTGCACACTGGCTTGGCGTCACCCATCAATGAGCTTGTCTAATCTCCATGCCTGCTGCCAGGCTCTGTGAGGTGGTCCTTGTTACAGAACACCTGTGCCACTCCGAATGCAGGTCCCAAGGGTGAAGCAATTCTTTAGAAACAGCTTAATACAGCAAAAATGAGAAGTGCTGGAGACACTGTTACTGTTTTTTTTCTTTTTTCCTTATGGAGTTAGAGTAACTTATTTTTAGTTGTACTTCCCTGTGAAGTAAATGATCAAGTGCTTCCACACAGAATGTTTGGGGACATGGTAAGTGGGGGAGGGGACAACATATTTCAGCCATTAAATTGAACAAATGTATTTTAACAACAGGAAGCAGCTGCTAGCTGGCAGTTTGGGGAACAGTTCATTCCTACCGTTCCTTGTTGATAAAAGTGTGGAGCCAGCTCCAACAGCCAAGCAGATTCAATGGCAGTCACATCTCTCATGTAATACTTAGAGGTTTGTATAACTTCATTGTAAATGACCCTAGAACAAGAAAAAGGCATGTCTTAGGGTGTCAGATCACAGCTAGACGATGAGTCTCTTCCCCTAACCTTTAGCAGGCACAGACACATGCCAGGCCCTGTGCTGAGCACATGTATTTATGCTGCTCACTTAGCACCAGGACCTGACGGTGAGTCAGTGTGTCCATTTTACAGATGAGATGCCAAGTCCCACATGACTTCTAGGGCACCCAGTCGAACACAAAGAACCTTTCTAGATTCTTAGTTTCAAATTAAAGCAGAACTTAAGGACTTAACTGGAAAATGTTGAAACGGAGGCAAAGGCTTGCCTGATTCTGTTTTTGGTTTTGGTAACAGGGATCAAACTCAGGACCCTGTGCGCACCACTGAACTAAATCTCCAAAATGTGTTTGCCTGATTCTGAAAAGGGCTGGGAAATGACTGTAAGACCCAAAGGAACTCCTCAGAGTGATGAAAATATTGTTTATCTTAGTTGGAATGCAAGTTACACAGGTGTATACATTTGTCAAAACTGATCTTTGACTGTATATAAATTATACCATTATTTAAGGGAGGAAAAAGGAGGCTGAGGTAATACACAAGCAAAAAGCCAAGCATATAATTTCAAGTCCCCAGACTTAAGGAACACATATTAACAATGAGTTTTTTCTGAGCCATCTTAAAGATCGATTCAGGATGCCCCTCAGACCATGAAAACCCCAGAGCCAAACTGTAGTTATCTTTCAAACACCAGTGAATGAATCTCAGCTGATGAAGGGAGGAGGAGCTGCCCTCAGCACAGACTGGAGGGGAGGGCTGACTTAGCCACCTGAGAGGCATGGGTCTGTTCCCAGGGGTTGTACTGTACTTCCACCCTCCCGTTTGCCCTTCAGAGCTCCTTGGGAATAGAGCAGGAAAACAAAAAGCCTTTTCAAACGTAATCACCCCAAAGCCAGCAAACCCTTAGAGAAGAACTTATGTTTCACTCCCCTCTTCAACTTAACTCCCACACTTATGGCTATGAGAGGTAACAATTCCAAAACCAGAACTGACTCTGCATTTCCAGCAAATTTTCAGGTAATGCTGATGCTTGTCTGGAGACCACACTTGGAAAACCACTAGTTTAGGGTAGAAATTATCAACAACAGATCTTTTACCCTCTAATTTTATCTTCTTTGTCTTCCCTCCCTGTCTGCAGACACGACCATCCCTTCTCTGAAGGGCTCTCGCTCCATCTTCTAACTGGTAAAGGACCAGTTGTTATTGTCTTTAACATTTCTAATCCATTGTCAATCAATATTTTTTATAAAATACAAATGGTTTATAAAAATTTAAAAGGCACAAAATAAAATTCCTATATTAGTATTAAATTGAGCAGACATATTCAACCTGTCAAAACACTTCAAAAATGTCTAAATGTCTTCTCCCAACTTCTGCACTTATCTCTTCCTTCCCAGACAGTTTTGTCAGGAGCCACCCTCTGGGTAGCCTTCAACAGCCATACCATGATTCCCCAGTCCCCAAAGATATGAGGTTCCTTTACATTGCCACAGCTTCGCCCACCCTACTTCCTCAGTCCAAATGCCCATCAGGTCTTCTTTTGCCTGAAAAACTCTCGTCTGTACATCCAGGGAAAATGTTACCTTCTCCATGAAGCCAGCCCTGACTCTCTGGCACCTGAAGCGCCAACTGAGGCAAAGCCCCTCCACAGTACAGGAATCTGCCTAGGTCTGTTTATGCCGGGACTGTGGGCTTGACCCCAAACTACCTCTGCATAGCTGTGCTACACAGGTTTTAGCATGCAGTCAGTGGGTAAAAGTTGAGATTTGTTCAAAGGATGAATGTAGAGATACACACCACTATTTCCTTAAGGAGAATCTTTGATGGAGAAGACTCAGCATAATAACAAACCCAACAAACATGTACATAGCACCTGTACTCCAGGGCCTGGGCCAGACCTTGGAGACCCAGAGATGAAGAACAGGGCTGGGGATTTAGCTCAGTGGTGCAGGCAACCTGCCTCCCAAGTACAAGGTCCCGAGTTCAATCCCCAGTACCAAAAAAAAAAAAAGACAGAGAAATGAAGAATTAAATTGAAACAAGTCTCAGTTCAAATTGCCTTGGTTCCCAAGGCAGGCCTCAGGCCGAGGAGCAGGAGAGGCTTACCAGCGAGGTGGCTTCTCTGTGTACAGGACTGATGCCGGGTGAATGTGCAGCTCATGATCATCACGGATGGTCCTTAGGAGACAGAAGTTTGTCTGAAGCATGTTTTAAGTACCTACAGCAAAACTTTCCCACAGATTTTTTAAAAATATTATCCAAAACTGCACACAGACTTGATTTCACCTGAAAAAAATAATTCTCTCCATCTTTCCTGGACCTTACTAGACTCTTCCGGCTGCTACCACAGGTGTCATGAATAAATCATGAGAAAAAAAAAAAAAGAATATATCATGAGAAAGGAAGAGAAGAAAAGCAACATGTGAACACTCAAAACATTTAGGGATATAACATTCTGTCCTTGTTTATGTTTATCTTTTGCAAGTTCTCTTTCAAAACAATTACCTTCAGGACAGAAGTAGTACATGTGATTTCATCTACAACCTTTATAATTACATGAAGTTAAATACTAAGGTTAAAGACTATAAAGAAGGTAAGAACAGGTGAATAAGCAAGCTTAGTATTGGCTTGTGTGTTTCTCTGAAACAGCAATTTTCAATTTGAACTGAGACTTGTTTCAATTTAATTCAAAAACTGTTTACTGAGCATATAATTACCAATAAGATCAGATCACAAGAGAACACGAATAGACTAGGACGCTACTGCCCAAAGCAGTTATGGAGTATGTCTGTGGGCACGAGGGATCTGCTCAGAAGAAATGCTTCAAGGCCCAGGACCAAACTCATCACAAGAACCATAATAAAGCATCCAGGGGCTCTGGTTGTCCCACCTGAAGGTGGTGAGGTGACACTGAACTTTGCTTCAAAGCAACAAATGGCCTGGAGTCTCTTGCGTAACCTCTATTTTTTTGAGGACACTGGTGAAACAACTGTTAGAAGGCCCACTGAAATGGTTAATCAAAAAGAAAAACAAAATAACAAAAAAAGAAATAGTTAATCAGCACCTTTCAGGGGAACAGGGCAAGTCCCATGATAAATGAGGGGCATGAACTGGGGAGTAGCTCAGGCTTCACTTCCCATCTTGAAGGGTGCCTGAAACGCACATAGTTCAGGGGTGGGGGGCAGTGGCACAGGTGACAGGCAACAGAATCATGACAGTGATACACTAGACCTCTTGGCTAGAGTGACAAACAGATCAACTAGACAGAAATGTGCAGTGCTACAAAGTGCAAACAGCTGGCTACCAGGATACTGGATGAAGGCGATCTGCTGCCAAATTTGGAAAATTCTCATTGAACTCTGCGCCCTTTAACAGAAGCCATTGTCGTGGAACAAATCTCTTTGTTGCCTCAGACGAGACTCCAACACTTTCTGAGAGAGGGTTCAAAAAGAAAAACTAATGGTAAAACAATATATTGAGGATATCTTAAAACGAGCTGAAGAGAAACCCTTTTGATTGGTCACCTATTAAAGATAAGCTCCACACTTTAAACAAGTCACAGTGAAGTGATGAGAATCCAATGAGCCACAAGACAGAAGAGATAAATGAGAACAATTCAAGGAACAAGAATGACACAGCTTTGAAGAAAAGAAGGGTTTTTACTGTTTTGAATACAAAAAAAGGTATTACAAGCATTAATGAGCAGTGATTTTCTGCATCTAAAAAATGGGGCTAGAAGAAATAGGCAGCAGCCTGAAACAGGAAGCACAATCACCACACGAAGAAACATTTACCAAGCTCTGAACGCCACTGCAGCCATAACATACCAGTGACCTCAGTTCTGCGGCACTCTAAAGACATAACAAACTACCCAACAGTAAAAGCAACTTCTCTGGGAAACACTGTCGTTAATGGTTTCTTCTGGTGAAATTATTCCATTATTAGAAATGAGATATTACCAGCCTCCCGACAGATAACTGCCATCCTTCTAAAACAGTCATTTCAATATGTGGATGGGCCACTACTTAAGTAGTATTTAAGAACTATTTTCAGAGAGTTAAGATACTGCGCTTAAAGATATATAGAAATGTCAACTCAGTTTTAGATGGAGGCATGATATGAATGAAAAATAATTAATTTCTCTACTATCTCTGCACATCAACTTTCTGTGGGGTTTGGGTCATTTTAAAGATTTCTCTTTTAATAAATAACTTTAGCCGCGGATTTGCCTCAGTGGTTCTGCCACCTGCCTTGCAAGTGCAAGGGCCTGAGTTCAATCCCCAGTACCAAAAAAAAAAAAAAAAAAAAATACAAATAACTTAATAAAGTATTTTGTTACCTATAAGCTCCAGTAGAATGAAACCTTGCTGCATTTGCAAAGAATCCAGAGACAATGCACCTCAGGACTGGATCTGGATCACCTGCACAAGGCAGAAAACAGTGATGGATGAAATGTTGGCATGCCCCACGCTCACACAGTATGGCCTGTGCTGAGATTCACAGGACCCAGGCCTTGCCCCACTCCTGGCTGTTTCAAGCCACCTCAAAACTAGCTGCTGAGCCAGCCCACTGCTGCACTGCCCCATGCTGGATGCCTGCCCCAGGTCACTTGGGGAAGTCCCCAATTCCATCAGGGTTGCCAAGGACAGCAGTATTGGCTCTAACTTGGGGATCCTCCAACCCCCAACACCACAGATGACTGGAACAAGGCTGGGTACCAGGACCTAAAACAACTACTCCACAGGCTGGAGGAGACTTCAGAACTCCTTAAGAGAGCACCCTGTGGAAATGATGTTCTCTGCATGAGACCCAAGTTGGAATATTATACTTCATTATTTCTGTGGTTATAAGATACAGTGCACAATTCTTTGATATTGGCAAACTTTCCATTTCAATTGGTGCTTCTATTGCTACAGTAAACATTTCATGGATAAAAGCTTCTCCATTTATTATGATGTCCATAAGATAAATTCTAAGTTATTGTACAAAAATTATTTTTATGGCTTATATCATTCAATTCTAAGACCTTTTTATTTTCTTATACTTACACTGAAATCAGGATAGCATTTTATAATTATAGTAGCATTTTTTTTCTTACTGATACCTAAAATAATGATAGTATCTTAGATCCAATGAAATATAGTATGTTGGCAAACAGATTCCCTAAAGATGTTACAATTTACAAAGCCATCAATACATCAAAGTGTCAGCTTCATTGTACTTTTTTGGCAAAGACTTACCTTCTTTTATTTTATATTTGATTACTATTAGTATGTAAGTGTATCTTCTTTTGTGAATTTTATCAACTTGGACATTAGTGCTTTGTTCTAAATAGGGTAAATAAAATCATTCTATAATAAAGTTCTGATTCTTATCTCATGACTGCTAAATATATCGTCCACTATTCACTTTCTAGATGCTTTAACTTTGCACATAATTTATTTAGTTTCTATGATTTTCTTTATTATTCCCAAGCAGAGAAGTGATTTATCTCTAATCTACATCTTTAACCATCATCTGATCCAAGATTCAGTCCTTTTTTCCTATTGCCCTAAGAAACTTTCATGTACAACATTTATTCTTCTTGAGGGCAGTATCACCTCCAAAAGATGAAAACTGGTCTTTGGGAGTGAGGGTAGGGAGGCTTCTTACATATTACAGTGGCTTGTGGCCCTCCAAAGCTCAACTCTCCTTTACAAAGTCTTCCTCCTGAGCACTGAATTCCTTGGTAAGAAGAATTTAATCTATTTTTATCTTAAGTAACAGGTTCAGATACATGGATACAGAAACAAGGCTGCAATCATTCTGCGAAGTGACAGGGCCCCCTCCAATAAGCTGCCCCTTGTAAGCGTCCTGCTTCTATCGAAAACACCAACATGGCCCAATAACCGAGGTTTCTATCTTTCCTTTCCTGTCAGCATCTAATACACTTCTTATTCCAAGAACTTATTCTGAAAGCCATCCTTGTCCAGCACTGTTTTCTACTTCCACAGGCCCTCAATGATTGATAGGACTTTAACCACCCCTCAAGGCCAGCTCCATGGGGTTGTCTCTTCCTGCACTGCTGCTATACTTGCCACTGTATAACTGCTGAAATGTCTACTATTTTAAATTATAAGAGGACTGGTAATCTTATAGTTGGTCTATCTGTAATGAATCTCTCCCATTGCGGCACTATGCCCCAAGAGTAACCAGGTCTTGGCCACTTTCTAATCTCTTGTTCTTGTTCTTAGCACAAAGGCAGTAATAAGGCTCTGAAATAAAAGTTCCCAGCTTCAAGTTCTGACTCCTCCATATATTTCCTGTGTGACCTCTGGCCACTTACTCTTTGCCCCTTAGCTTCATTAGTTTTACCTCTAAAATGAAGATAACAGCAGCACATATTTTGCACATTTGTTTTGAGTCTGAATGAATTAAGAGGAAAACACTCAGAACACTGTCTGCCCTATCAGAAGCACTCAAGAAATGTTAACAAGTACCAGTGGGGTTGAGAATGCAACTGGGTACCTGGCACACAGTAGGCATTCAAGACAACTGACTGTCAAATGCATGAGCATATGGGGCACTTCTCCAAAGTGTGGGCTTCTGGGCTGCATCATGGTGGTCTCTGCTGACCACCAGCCATAGCATCCTAAACTTAAATTAACTCCTCCCTAGGACTTTCTGACTCCTCTGTAAAGCAAAGATGTTGGCCAAATGTGATAGTATATGCCTGTAATCCCAGTACTCAGGAGGTTGAGACAGGAGAAGTTCGAGGCCAGCCTGGGCTACATAGTGAGTTCAAGGCCAATATGAACTACATAGTGAGACCTTGTCTCAAAAAAATAAAAAAGATAAAGTAAGGATACTGTCACAGACACCTGCCACAGTGGGAGATAAACCAAGAGAACAGCTGTAGAATTCTGAGCACAGTGTAACTTACATATCCTCAATCTATAGCCATCACTGTCATTGTTAGAGGCCAGAGACTACATCTTATATGTCCTATGCAACCTTATCCTTAGTGACTGGCTAGGCTACACACATGTGCTTGCTTTAATAATACTGGCATCAAAAAAGAAAAGGTAATTTGTATATAATAGCCATATATTCCAACCACTTAAAAGTAATTCTTCTTGCAATGGCTACATGGTCATATTAATTGCATGCTGCACAATCATGTGAACATTAATGATTCTTAAGCACTGTCATAAGCTTTATTCTTTTTAAGGATAGCCCTGAGAAACACAAATGAACCTCCTAGAGAAAAATATACAACTTAATATTCAGCTTTTCATTCAGATAGGTAATTCAAAAGTGAAACCTGGTGTAGGGACAGAGCACATTGTATAGCTTCACACCAACCCAGCATGAGAACATTAAGAACGCAACCAAGTCAAGCAAAGAAAGGTTAGTCATAGACAGAGATAGTTTATTCTCACCTTCGCTAGACTTTTTGGGCACCTGAAACTTCACAAGCAGCTTTTTCAACTGTTCTCTCACGGTTGCAGCTCTGACAAGACCCTTGTAATTCAGGAAATGTTCCTGACACCACTGGGAGTTTTTATTGTGCTACAGAACAACCCAGACAGGAGAATTAGAGGAGCACGGGAAATGATACAATTAGGGAAATACCATGAAGACAATTATGTTCCCTTCCCCTGCTTCCTTGTTCAATGAGACAAGGGCTTCAGATTATAACTGGCCTTATTTTGGCCCCATCTCTCAAAAAACATGTCAGCAACCACACTCACATGAGATGCTTCTGCAACCTCAGCCAACACACTAAGGAGCAAAGGAGACCCGAGGGATAAGCAGAGCTATTTGCAACCTCAAACATATATATGAGAAATGAATGATCAGAAAGGGCCACATCTCTGTGGTTCTTCATAAATCTCCTTTGGCAAGCTTCAGTTTATAACTTTATCACTAGATAAGCAATGCCACTTGCCAATGCAAAAGTAAGCTGCAAATTATTATTTGTCCCCAAAGTATGATTTTTATTTCAACAGTGCTTAATTTTATTTGACATGCTTAAGTATGGCCATTGTCTTGGATTTAATTTTTGCTCTGGGAATATACCTCTAAAATTATATTCTAAGCCAGAGTGGAAAGTGTTTTAAGTGTTAAAAAAGAAAATGTAATTCACAGAGGATTTTTCCCAGAAGGCAATTACAGAACAATACAAAGTAGACCTGCATCAACATTCTATTGCTAGGAAAAATTTCAGATTAGAAATGGTATTTATTTGCCAGGTGTGGTGGCACACGCCTGTAATCCCAGCATTCAGGAGGCTGAGGCAGGAAGAATGCTGTGAGTTCGAGACCAGCCTGGGCTACACAGTGAGTTCCAGGTCAGTCTCAACTACATAGTGAGACCCTGTCTCAAAAAAAAAAAGAAAAAAAGAAAAAGAAATGGTATTTATTTATTTACTTATTTATGGTACCAGGGATCGAACTCCTCCCTAAGTACCTTGCACTTGCAAGGTAGGCAGTGGCACCACTGAGCTACATCCTGGCAGTATGTTGTATTTTAACGGATTTAACCGTAAGTCACAATATATATATATAAGCTTTAGCTTATTCTATTTAACAATTTTTAGTGACAACTTCAAGCAGTATTATTTGCTATTAGATTTCCAGAATATTATGAATAAAAAGTTAAAATTGACTATGACTAAACAAGGGTAGGCTATGTAGATGTGGCCAGACATATTCTCATGGAAGCTGAGACACCTCTAAAGTTCAACTCAAAATTATAAAGTGTCCTCATCCTTGTTCATCTGACAGAAAATATAACACAATTTCCTATTCAAATATCACTTTTCTGTCTAAAACCTGGCAGATGGGAAGACACTGGGAAACCAAGGCCTTACCTTGCCTCTACTGAGTCATGGGACTAGGCAAGAAAAATCGACAAATGATTCCTGTGCTCCCTCTGGCAATATTGTAACAGAAACTCAGCAGGACACTCAACCCACTGGGAAGAAATCTAACAGGAAAATTAAGGTGTCTCTTGTCCTTCCTTTGTCTACTAACTTCCGGTATTCTCATTTCTAAATCACCCCAAGTGGGTAGGTGTGGGAGGGTCCCTTTGAATGGTAGCTGTGCTTACTTTAATAAATGCCTCATACACATTGAGCATGGTGAGGTGATCACCCTCCTCCACAGCAAATTTTCGGTGCATTCGGATCTGGAAAGAATAAAGTATCCATTAGAAACTGATCCCCAGGAGCCTGGGAGTGACACTGCAGAACAAACAGCACACGGCTATGGATTCAGAGAGGCCTAGTTCATACCACCCGGGCTGCACCATATCCTGAGAGCCCTGGGATTGCTTACCTGACCCTTCTTGGCCTCAACTTTCTTATCTGTAAAATCAGGAAATTAAACCTCTAAATGAGATTGCTATGGATTAAGATAATTTACTGTAAAGTTCCTGGCACAGAAATTTGATAAATGTTAGTGTTCTTACATCTCTCCTCCCAGTCCCCAGCACAGTGTAGGCTCCAAGGAGGGCAAGAGGTATGCTGTCCAGCACACGGTAAGCACTCTGTATTCCTAGGTTGCCTACCAGCTGCACAATCCTCTCAGACCCCATCTTTGAATTCTTTCCTGAAATAGGCTATTTGTTCACATGAATCAAGGAGCAGCAAGCACACAAACTTCAGAATTTTACCCTTGAACTAATGTCATATAATCAATCAAGCTGTCTTCCTTCCTTCCTTCTTTCATCCCTCCCTCCCTCCTATCCTCTCATTCAGTATTTCTTTTTTAAACCAAGAACCTAATATACATAGGTACTGTTATACTCACACTTGGGATATAACACTGAATAAAAGACTGGTGGGAGGAAGATAACAAAGTAAAACATGTAGGCTATTATATAATAAGAAGCATAAAGCAGAGAATGAACATAGGAAGTGAAGAGGTGCTACCGTTTCAGACAAAGGGGAAAGAACTTCAGTTTTCTCCTTGCTAAAGTTTGAGTGTTCCCGTCCTGAACGATGACTGTAAAAAGGTTAATCAAGGGACAAATGAAAAACCTGAGAAATGACATACAAGAAACTCCGTCACCTACAAACATACTGGTATACGCTGGGAGATGCCCAAAGTCTGTGAAAGAGGCAGTCTTCCTTTTGCACAACCCGGTCACCCTCCCTGCACAAAGCTGCTGCTCTCTGCAAACAGCTGAGTCTGAGCCCACCTGCGCCCACTTCCATCAGTATCCTCCCCGTCACAGGCTCTTCAGTACCCTAAACATATCCTCCAGTCTTTCTCACCTTCACTTTCTGTCAGCACCTCTGCCTGTGCTTCAGGCGCCCTCCTGGCAGCTCAATTTCAGCTCCTAATGTCCCCATCTGCAACACACTATGATGCAGTGTGGTGCTTACAATCAGCACGCTCTGCCCAGGCACTGACTCCTTATGTTACTAATGTGTCCACCATTGGAGTTCTCTGATGGAAAACTGAAAGTCGGCAGTACAGTGGTTAAAGTTTGGGACCCTGGTCTTGAAAGCCCACTCTGCTGACTGCAGTTGTGTAATCATCAATGAGTTGAGTTACTGTGGGCTTCCATCTCTAAAATATAACATTAACTACCTTCAAGGTTTTTTATGGTGAAGATAAAACAAAATTGTGCATGTGAAGTGCTTAGCACCATGTCAGACACAAAGAAAACACTCAAATGTGAACCAGTATTATTTGCACAGCTGTCTTCAGCAGCTTCTGGGTGAGTTCTAACAAGGAATACCCTCAGTGAAAGAGAATACCATGAACAGCTTGGGGAGTAAGTTGAACTTACTGCCTGAGACTTCTGGTTTGAAGGGATCACAAAGATATTCTGGATCTGCATCATGGCTGCAATGCTTAGAATTTCCTGAGAACAGCCGAAATTTCCTGTAAAGTATAAAAGCATGTTTGACTGCAAACATACAACATGTCAACGAGGAGAAAAAGACATTTTCCTTGTTCCATACCGTAAAATAAAGACCACATTTTTAAAGATAGTGTAACTTTTAAGGTCTCTGCTATATGCATAGAATAATTCACACTCTCAAATGGAAGGTCCCATATGTAGCTCAGCCTTGAAGGACTCAAAAAAGCTCCTATCCTACTCTTCAGCTGAGGGCACTCATCATCAACCAAGGTGGGGTCCAGACTGCCCAAGGGCAGATCAGTGCCACACCTGCTCCCTCCTCGAGTGTGGACAACTAGAATCCCCGTAGTAAAACTGGGAGAAAATAGGTGATGGGAATGTGTGGGTTATGTCCCTCATGCTGTTTCTCTGCCCTTGGCCCTTCTGAGTGGGCTTCTAAAAGTGTTTATCTCTCCCAGAAAGACCAAGGCTGAAGTAGATGAGAACAGCACTCAATGTGTTTTTCCCAGTAGCAACTGGGAGCAGAATCTGCAATAACCAGCCTCTGAAGGTGCTGGACAAGGCAAACCGCACTGCCCACCTCCCCTCTCCACAGCCTCCTGCCTCATATAATGCAATATAGTCCACCAACCCAAAGCTTAGAATCTGCTTTTCATTGAAAGGCTAAGGGCATTTGGCTGTTCTAAAACACAGCTGTAGCTAACTTTCACCACGCTAGTTCTGAAACACACCTTCATAAATTGTCAGCTAACATATAAAAGTCAGACAAAAGTGAGAAAAACATTA